TTTTTTTTATATATATATATTAGCAAAAATCATATATATATTTATTCAAGTTTACGATGTATTGACAATTTTGATGTCATTATTTCACGAAAATTCTATCTATATGGCTGGCTGTCCATTTTATCGCCAGAGACGAAAGTCTACAAATGATCGCTGAGGTTTGACCCCTCATTGCATGCTGTGTCTTTGTGTTAAAAAATTGTGGACTTATGTGATTTTGTGCAAAGACGTGCAGTTGTGTTAATTAATTAGGTTAATAAGTAATCCCAAAAAATGCAACTTATTCTCCATCTTTAGTCCAAATCAATATGATATATAAATTAAATTATGACTATTACTATTATATAATACATAAACTTTATTTTGAACAAGGTACCATGATTTTTTTTTTTTTGTTTCGGCATATTTTCCACAAATGTTTGAAATTAAGAAATTATGTGGAAAATTAATATATGAACAAAAGAAAAATATGTTTGTTTTATTAATATTTTAATTATGCAATATTTATATGATGGATCTAGAAATAATATTATTATATTAACAGATATATATATTCAATTGACTAACATATGTATAATCGCATATTATCTGCCAAAAAAATAGTGTAATTACAATTAACTAATTGATTCATTGTAAAAAAATAAAAAACATTGACGACCACTGCCCATGATCAAGTAATTAATAATAAACTCGTAATAGCACAATTTGGCTCATGAACAATAAATAAACTGTACGTAATACCTCACACTACACAATCAATGTTTGCATATATATGAATAGTAATGTTTTTGTCAATTATAAAAATTTACTCTCTTAGCAAAATATGTATTTATACGGTTTTGCTACGAAAGTTGGCTCGACAGTAATTTTATTAACATGGTATGTTTATTTGTAGCATATAGAAGGTTAACTCCACTTGGAGAACAGTTAGCATATAGAAGGTTAACTCCACTTGGAGACAACTGTTGACTTCATAGCAAATCGTGTATTTATATTATAAAATACATAATTTTATTTATATTGTATTTTGAAATATGATATTTTGTTATAAAATTACATAATAGTATATATACAAATGTTAGCATGTTGGCGAAACCAGGATTCCGTTTCGGGGAGGGCCCAATTTGTCTTTAAAAAAAATTTTCACGACAAAACCAAACACAAACACAAATTTTCTTCGATCCAGCTTCCCCTCCATGGCTCCATGCCTCCCTGCTCAGCTGCTCTGTGTTTTCGGATTCCGGATTTTCGGTGGCGCCCCTCCGGCCATCCCGCGGCGCACCACCCCCACTCCGGCATCCAGTTCCAGCAAAACCCCCCACTCCTAGTTCGATTTTTTTTTTTGGAGGGGCCGGCGCCTCTCCGATTAATACTGTGGTTTCGCCCCTGCAGCATGTAATGGTTAGCTGTTATTTTACATTTTTTGTTTCACTTAACTTAGAGACTATTAGTCTATTAGGGCATCCACATTGACCGCGCGTCGCAACGCGGCAAATTTATATTTATAAAATTTTCCTCGACTTACCCCTACCAACAAGTAGTAGTGATGAGCAATGGTCGATCACACATGGAGTGTGGTATAAACCGTGATTTTATTATATTAATTAGATTATTAGTAAAAATGGGGGGGACTTGATTTAACACGAAACTACTAGCAAAATGATAATTAAACTAAAACTAGAGATTAATGATTAAAATACAAAGATGATGAAACTGAAAATAAATAATTAATCTAGCAAATATGAGAATGGAATCGGTCCTAGGTCAGTCTACACCCTCGAATAACTAGTCCAATTAATGCGTTTATCAGGTTTCACTCGTCTTCTAAAACTACCGGTCCTAGGTAGCAATGAGCTCTGCTACCCGAATTCTCCCTTGATTATACTTAATCAAAACAAGCTCTTCGATTAATTCTAACTAGCGAATAACTCGGAATAAGCTCTCCTAATTTAATTCGCTCGTTGCATTAAAATCTAGGAAAATAGACCAATCTAAGCCACAAACACATAAGCTCGGTTCATGTAACTTATGTTGTGTTATCCCTAACAGTGCACGACTATTAGTTGCTACAAACGAAATAAGAACAACGACAATTACGGATCGAAGCCTTAATCTAGCAATTAACAAGTAATCCTCAACTTAGGTGATCAAACTAAATTAAAGAACACATATTATAGCATGTAACTAGAATAACACAATCAATTTTATACGAATAGTAAAACAAAATAAAATCTCATTAACCAAACGTAGTCATCGAGGGTTCAACGTCCCTAGAACTAAATAAATGTTTAGCTACACATAGCTAAATGATAAAAACAAATACTAACATTCATAATCTTCAATCAAAATAGGAAATAGAAAATAAAAATAAATGACAAACTCCCTTAAAAACAAATTAAACTACAGCCGAATCACTTCATGGCAGCAAATAAATCCTTAGCTCAAGTATTCTTCCATGCCCTCTGTTCCCGTCTCCAAGTCCCAGCATGTATGGAATATATCCCACCAATTCCTTGCCCAAGATGAATTAATTTCCTCCCTTCCAATAAACTAAGAGTCCCGTTTCCCTTTAACTCCTCACCAATTAATTCTCATCTAAGGCCAATAACAAGAGTCCAAAGAAAAATAAATTCCCCTCAATCTCGGTCAACCACCAAAAAATGAATCTTGCTGCGTGTGTTTGGCTCAATTAACTTGTAATCCACCTCATTATTTATTTAATTAGCCGCATCTCAAATAGCCATATCATCGAATAGTCTCTAAACTGCAAAATAGACACAAAATCCAAATATTGGTGTATGTCCGTTCACAAAATAAAATACGTGAGAAAACTTGAATAATACACTAAAATCAAATATTCAAATATGCAAATTAGCTCACAAAATAATATAAGATTTCTCACATATCACACATCCCTTAACGTTCATTCAATCACAATTTACACTTTCTCTCATCCACATCATCTCCACATCATCTTTCCACTAAATATCTCTCCATTTAACCTACTCACATTCATTCATTCATTTAAACACAAATATATGAGACCCATTACCCACTCATTCAATACTATTTTTATAATTTATTCTTAATAAAAATAAATATATTTTTTAATTAGAATATTAAATTTTAAAATACACTAAATGTTATTATAATTAAAAAAAAGAAACATAAATTAAGATAACAAAACAAAAAAATAACTAATTGAAAAACTAAAACAAAAAAATATATTAAATAATTTATTGAAAACAAAACAGAAAAAAACACATATACATAGAATTGAATTAAATATATAAAACAAACAATTAAATATTAAATGACAATAAAAAAAAAGTAAAAAAAATAAATAAGAAAAAGACACCTAAAGCTGCCAAAGTAAAAAAAAAATAAAAAAATAAAAAAAAGCACCAAAAGGTGCGTTCATGGCAATGAACGGGCCTTCACACTTAATGAATGTCCGCATTGGATTGAACGTTCATCTGTCATTTAAACAGGGCGAATTATCTGGATGCTTTTATACTAATAATCCTAAAGGCTAATTATAATTTCTAGACACTACCCATAGATTTATTTATTTATTTTTTTTTGGTACAAGAAAGGGAGGCTGCACAAAGTCTAAATAAGAACCGACCGCGAATAAAACATAGCAATCCTATCGTGGTGTAATCATATGCTTGTTCCCGGCGGAAGCCGCTCCAACCTCTCAAGACCCTCCGGGCCATTAGCCGCTAACAACGTTAGATAATTCGCCATAAATTTGGATTTACGGTAGCCATGAGAAAACCGCACTTCCCAAGTTCGACCCATTTCAAGTCAAAGAAAATAGAAACCTCTGTGTTTTTTTTCCGAAAATTAAATACAAAAACAATATTAGTAGATTAATTTATTCGGGACCGAACTACTGAACTCCAGTCCGAGTGTCGCTCTAGTTTGTTTGGTCTTCCTCAATTTTAGCTAATGATCAGCGCGTTTTCACTGATAATCAAATCATTAATTCTCTGCAGCATGTCAATGAAGAAAATTAATTTTTAGACAAAAATACAGACCAATAAAAATAAATAAATAAATGGTTATTTTTTTTTTTTTTT